AATGAAATTTTAGTACCAAGAATTTAACAAAATGTGAAGGAATGCGTTTCTATTTAACCACAGCCTTCCAGAATTTCTAGTGCAATGCCCTAGTTCAGCTTTACATAAAATGGGCCTGTCCGGAGCCATTTGAGTTAGGAGATGAATAAACTGCATGGACAGGCCAGTAATCAGGGAGAAAATATACTTTCTCCTTTGTCAGCTAGAAATAGCAAGTAAATATAGGGAGTGTAAAGGCTCTGACACATGCGTGCGTGTGTGTGCGTGTGAGTGTGAATGTGTGTGTACGAGTGTGTGTATGTGTGCGTGTGTGTGTGTGTGTGTGTGTGTGTGTGTGTGTGTAATGGGAAGTCAGGCAGGAGAATGTCTGATGGCCGCCATGTTTCTACCAAGTTCCCATCACCACTAATCCTTAGATGCAGAATCCAGTGCCAGCCTCCTGGGAAACGATTAGGTCTCCTCCTTACAAAGCCCAGGCCTTCTGGTGACAGAAGTAAAAGGACTTTTCAGAAGGAACACCACCCTGCACCCAAACAGACATAAAGCTCTTAGTCTCCTCAAGGTCAGATAAATACCCAATGGACAGATAAATGCCCACTGTACACCCATCCCCATTGTCTGCCTTTTCTTCCCAATCTCCCACAGCTAAGAGCACTGCCAGGATACTGAACAGGCTGGTTTTACAGATTTGCAGTTATAACAGTGATATTTTTGAGTTACAGAACAGTCATTGCTTGCTCAAAAAATTAACTTACACTTCAATGTCGAAGCTTTAAGGCAGACACAAGAAAGTGCCATCCATCAACAAGTGCTTTTGGGAGCCAAAGAGTTATATAAGAAGCACGCTGTGTTTGCCTCTGCAAAGCATGACACAGCAAGGTGCCTCCTGGAGCAGGCTTGGGGACCAAATCCCCAGCCACATTCTTCTCAGATCCCTGGACCCAGCTAGGTTCTTTCTACACACACACACACACACACACACACCCTAAACATTCACATTCCTCAAGCTGCTTGAAGTAAAGTTCAGTAGTAAAGGTTTGGGGATTTATTTTGAAGGCAGATATGAGATTCTTTATTCTCCACTGCATTCATTGAACATTACCTCTCCAACCTCTGCAGCAGAGGTAACATCCGTTAAAAATGGTTTGTGTGCCATGCATGCCAGAGCCCTAGAGGGCCGCTGAGCATTTCCATCCCTTGGCTGGCGTTGTCTACTCTTCTGGGCAGCAGGAGGGCTGTGTGCACAGCAGAAAAGCAAGGCTCTGGCTTTACAGCCTCATATCGCCAACCCCATAGAAACCAGGACAGAGATTTTTACATAAGCTACTAAAATAAGCTTTGTAGCTTAAAGCAAACAAATCCATGTCTAAATTCAGTGAACTGGAGACAGAAAGATACTGACCGTACGACAATTCCTCCGGACTAATCATAATATACTTCTAGGGACAATCAGTGATGCTGGGAAAGGCTCTCTGAGAATTAGTGGGGCTGTATCTTCTATCTCCTCAATAATCCTACACTCCAGACCCCTGTATGCCCTCTTCCCACTCTTCCAGGACGCACTGAGGTGAGATTTGTTAGGGCACACAGCTCATCCCTACCACTGCAGCAGGTCCATCCCATCAGGGCACAGAGGGACAATGTGGCTAGCCCAGGGAAGAGTCACCTTCCCATTAAACCTGGAAATCTGGAGACTGAGCTTAAATGCTCTCCATCCCCTACAGACAGGCTTCCCCACCCACTTCAGCACATTTTCCTCAGTGTGTAGAGGTGGGTCTTGGAACAACAGGTCCTGCTCATGTGGCTGAAGGGACACAGGCAGCATATGTTCAACTTCTGCTCATTCAGCAGCAGGTACACGTGCAGGTCAACAACCCCTTATCTGAAACCTTTGGGGCCAGAGGCCTTTCAGAATTCAGATTGATTTAAAAATTTTACAAAGCTAATATAACATCCCGGCAGAGTCTGAGGAAGCATGCTATAAACTCATTAATACTTTTTTTGTACCGAAACATGAATATTCATACTAATTTTCTATTGGGTCAATCAAATTAGTTATGAAAAAAAATATCCAGAGTTCTCAAGGATGGGGGAATTTGGCACCATCTGGTTCACTTTCCTCCAAGAGATATCGAAACTCAGTTACTCAGGGGCAAAGACCCACAGCAGAGACCAGACAAATGGGGCAAGTGCCACAGCCCCAGTAGACATTCCCTGACTCAGGAGGCCATGGGACAGACCAGCTGAGATGGGGCCAGGCTGATCTGAAGAATCTCTGACACAGAATATGCCTTCGAAGCTGCACTTCCCTGGCCTCAATACCCAGCGAGAAGCAATTCCACAGAGCCCTCCATATGCAGAGAATCAGTCCCCAGGACTCCAGGGAGGACACAACACATATACAATCACAGACCATAGTAAGACCTACACAGCAGCAGCAGACCAGATGTTTCAGAGCCCTGACCCTACGTGACTGATGTCAGCTCCACGGGGTATGGGGCAAACCACGTTTTGATCTTTCTGCCCTTGAGAAGCAGAAGGAAGGTCTTACAGCTGCTGTCTTTCTCTCAGCGCCTTTAAATACCAGCATCCCCAGGTTCTACCTTCTCGCTCTGTGCGTGCTCCCTGGCTAACTGTATCCACTCCCATGGCGTCACCTACTACCGCCATGCCCTGACTCCCACATCTCAGGCATTTAGTCCCACCCTCCTACCCACTCCCACTTACATTTTTAGCTGCCTCTTGGGCCCCTCCAGCTGGTTTCCTTGTATACCCTTTCCCACTGTACCACAGCCTCCTAACACCTGCGTGCTTTCCCCACCTCCCTGCTTTGCACTTAGGTCGGTCACGTGACTGGCTCTGACCAATGGGATGTAAGCAGAAACGCCGTGTGTCACTTCTGGAGGGGGTATTTAGCACCTGTGTTCCATCCCCGTCTCTATCCCCCCCGAGCTGGCAGGACAAGGTGGTTGGAGACTCAAAACAGAAACACTCTCAGTCCTGGAGTCATTGCTTAGAAAAAGCCACTGGCCCCGCAATGAACTGTGAGATGGATAAACTTCTAGGGGGAAACATTACTGAGAGTTTGGAATTATCTGACATAGCAGCAGCAAGTGTTACTTACCTCATTCACCTGCCTTCTCCACCTGGCAAGTTCCTACTTATTGGGCTCAAAATTCCAATTTAAAAGCCACTTCTGTGAAGTCCAACTTCCGCGGGAAGGTCGGCTATTCCATCCTGCGACCTCTACCAGTTTACTCATGGATCAGGCACAGCAATTGCTTGAATCTATTGACACATTTCTGTTTGCATGTCTGGGTCCCACATTTGTGTGTGTTTCCTCTTCTATCCTTGTTGCCTCAGTGCCTTCGAGTAGTAACCACCCCACATGTTAGATTTACTGAAACAAAGATCAGAGCCTTCTCGCTCGTGAGACGAGCAAACCTGAAGTCAGCGTTTCCCCCCAGCACTCTCGGTATTGTGCTGGGTATTGTGGTAGGAGGCTAGGTAAGTAAGACACTGTCACCAACCTTTAAAAGTGCTTTTCTCTTTAGATCCTCAGCACCCCTTTATCTCCCATCTTTATTAAAGGACAGCCTCCACTTAGAAAGTACAGGGTCTTTTCAGGAACTATCAGCTAAGCCATTTCTCAGAAAGCAAGATCAAAGAGGGGTATAATAGTGACAAGATGAAAGAAGAAAGGGGCTCTCACTCTTGGCCCCTTTGAGTCTGGCTCACCCAAGCGGGCCAGTTTACATTCATGACCTGGCATTCTGGGATCACACAGCTGTGTCGGGATTATTTCTGGTGTGAAAACAACTGCAGTGAAAGCACCGCTGGGGACCCAGATGTGGAGATGACAGCCTAGTGTGCAGTCACGTCATTACCACTTGGTAAAACTTCCCAAACCAAAGCACAAAACCCTGCCACTGGTCAGGGAACCTTAGCATAGGTTCCTTACATAGGGAACAGGCTAGAGCAGGGGTCGGCAAACCGCAGCTCGTAAGCCACATGCAGCTCTTTGGGTACGTTCCGTCTCAAAAGTTTGCCGACCCCTGGAAGAGCCAATCCTGTCCCTCACAACAATTTAAAAATTATTCGAGAGCCATAAATATATTTTTACATAATCATCATTATGTGAATAATATCCTTTAAAATTTTTATCAATGAAACTATGATAGTTTTATTTTCGTTTTCAATTTTACTTCACAGCCACATGTACGTACCCAAAGAGCTGTATGTGGCTCACAAGCCACTGATTGCTGACCCCTGGCGGCTCTTCCATCTCAAAAGTTTGCCAACCCCTGGGCTAGAGTAGTGTGTATTATAAGTGTTCCCTTTCTCCCAATTGTCTTAAGGGTGTGATGTAACTCTTAGTTCCAGCCTCAGGGAAATGGGGACCTTAAATAAATGACGATCAATTATTAATGCAATAATTCCCACAGACTAGCATTTTACCTGCTGCAGGTGTGGTTTTGCTGTTGACATTCAGATGAGCCATTCATGTACATTAAACATAAGGTCGGCTACTAGTGCTGGCGTCCCAGAGTTCAGACAAAAACATCCCCAACAAAGAGCTGTGGCGAACCTGCAGCCATGCCCACAGCTGCAGAGGAGCACAATGGGGCTTCTAGGCATCATCTTAGTGGGACTTTCAGAACCGCAAATGTTAGGCTTTGCAGTAAACTGAAGGCTGGGATCTATAGACAGCAGGGAGGTCAGAAAAAAGGAAAGAACTGGAGAGCTAGGTTAGCAGAAAGGTAGAGTCTGGGAGAGTTGGGATAACACATTTTGATGTTAAGTGTCACGTGTCATAGATAAGAGGGACATCAAAATAGGGGACACTTAAAGTCACAACTAAACAGAGAACTGTTCCTGTTACAGGTCATATACCGTGAATAAAACAATGACTGCTCCCCCACCCCAATCCCAGTCAAGATACCAAGGGCACAGGTGAAAAACAAGAAATTGGCTGAAAACTGCATTCCCTGGCAACTTACCTTGTATGAAGATCCTATTCCAGTAGATTTTCCCAACCTGATTGCCCCCGAGGAACACCAGGTTGGACAGGATCAGCATGGAGGTGGAGCAAGACGCTAGGGCAGCGTGGAGTCGGCGGCGAGCTCGTGGGGAGAGGAACTGGACCTAGAGGGGAAAGGCAAGAAGGCGTCTCATCGCGAGGGCGAAAAATGAGGCTGGGAGGTCATCCAGCCTTCCTCGGTCCCCAGTCCAGGATGCCTACCCCTCCCCCCACCCCACCCCCGACCCAGAGCCTGAAGTAGGTTGTTACTTCAACAAGTCTCAAAAACTGCTATGCCTGCAACACGCTTCTTTTGGTCTAAGGAAAGAAGCGACGTACCTCCACGTTGTTACTTCCTACGACCAATTTGGGCTTCCCTTGGACATGTGTAACAGAAGTACTGGAGCTAGTTAAGGTTTGGCTGAGACGTCTCCACCCATTTTCTGCATGGGAATCTATAGGTACAAGAACTTTCTACACTGCTTTCCATGATAACAAGCATAATTCCATGGAATGGGCTCAAGATCAGCGAGCTCTTCTGGGCCAGCTTACTTGACCCTGGGAAGCCAGCCCATCACGCTGGCCCACTATTAGGAGGGACCCCGTTAAGAGGGTGCAGGAGAATCAGTACAAGCTGACTCCACTCTTGGAATCAGAGATCAGGGTACACGCCCCACTGATGGTGAGCCTGCAGCAGCATCCGAGAAGGGAGGCTTATCACAGCACGTGAAACGGGCAGGAGCTGAGGAGATGTTTTCCAGCACGGATAATAAAGAACTCTGCTCATCCATCCGAGGTCTTCACTGCGCTCTCTCCGCCCCTTTTAGTATCTTCTCGAGGATTTCATAAAGTCAACAAAGCTTTTATTTCTCAGCTTTGACTGTTCTGGTGGCCCTTCTGACTGAGGTCACAGTGCTGTGTCTGGAGTGTGTGAGCCCTCTGGGGCTGTGCATGCAGAACGAGAACCAGGTACAGCGCAACAGCCAGACACACGGGGCCCCCGGGTTTCTGACAAATACCTCAGCCTGATCCACAGACATAGAAAAGAGAGAAAGCAAAGCGTCGCGAGACAGCGGCCGAGTATCCTCCTGAAACCCGCACACCTTTGGGTGACCTGCACCTTGATTTCAGCTGCGCTCCAATTACAACTAGGATTCTGAATTGCCCAGGTTCATGGCAGGAGAAAAGGACTAGGCTGGCAGGTGACTCTCCAGCAGGAGGCTCACTTACTTCGGGGGACCCTGCTGTGGATCATCTGTGGCCATTCTGTAAGCCTTGGCCAGTGTCTTCTGAAAATCTGGAGAAATGAATTCCTGACACCCTCCCCTTTTCTCTCCTGCCAGCCCAGCGTCTGTTCTGTACGCTCAGATACAGCTGCTACCATACATGTCCCCACCCAGGGCTCTCTCCTCCAGCGTCATGCTGGACCACATGCTGCCACCATACACGAGAGTGAGGCCTTTGCACGGAGAAGCTGTGCTGCAGGCACCGAGTTGTCTACCTGGGATGATTCTTCTGGAAAGCTCCCCAGGGATGCTGACATGTTCGTGGTTAGAGGCCACCAGACAAGATGACCTCTAGTCTCTCCTCCTGCTCTAAGAGGCCACACGTACATACAGGGGATGCTGTCAAACAAGACCAGGTAAGAGACAACTACACAGTATAAAAACCGGTAATGAAAGAGAAGCGGGGACGAAGCGGGCTTGTACTTCAGGACTCTTCACCACTGAGAACAAGGAGACGTCAATCTCCCAGTTTTTGCATTTCCAGAGGAGAGGAAGGTGCTTTCTGGGTATTACTGACTCAATTAGCAATAACCGGGGAGGCAGTGTGAGAGGAAGCAGGGAGATGGGGGGCGGGGGGAATCCAGATTAATAAATCAAGAGAATGTGAATTGTCTTAATTGGCATAAATGTGTCCAAATAATTCTCTCCAGGTACAGGGACACTAATAACACTTTCTGATGAGTCACACACTGCCACGTCTGTCTAACCCTATCAGTCTCCCCCAACTTTACATCCTGTTTTGTGAATTCAGAGGCCCCATGTCATCTTTTATTAATGTCAGTTACAGAGAGCACACATCGCTGGGTTAAGCTCAAAGTGGTTCTCCTTTTATGACAAATGATTACAATTATTAAATAATCAACAGAGATACTGAGAAAGGAAATGCTCTTTGCATTGGGTTGCTAAGCAGGGCTGCGGTGCCAGGTTACCCGGTGCAGGGGTAAGGGCAGGCTCTCGTAGGAGGCAGAGCTAGAAGGGAAGGGGCAGGGCAAGGGACGAGGCGAGGGAGAGTGCGTGCAGGGGGGCGTCGGGCTCCTCTCCAGCACCTGAGGCCCTAGTTCCTGCGGACCATCCCTTCATTCTCCGATTACGCCAGTATCTCTCTCCGCTACATGAGTCAATACGTTCCCATTTCTGCTTAGGGGGGAAAAGAGTCAAAATAACAGCAAATGTGAAGGAGCCTCTGCTCTCAGAGATAGGGGGGAAGGCATCTAAAATCTGAAATGACTGATGATGATTCAATTTTTAGAAATAATTTTCTTTTTTTTTAAGCAAGAATGTTAAAGACACAAGCTGTTGAAATCAATAAGCTAGAGAGACTTAAAGGAATCAAGATGCTCATAGGCAATTCTTGATCATCCCTCAGGGTGAGTGGGTGGAAGACAAAATAGATGATGATAAAGAAAATGCAAAAACCTAATTTTAACTAATAGCCCATCCTCTGAACTGACAAAATTAGCCTTGTCAATAAGCAGTGAACTCGACAAAGCATTGCTTCTCTTCATTGTGAGTCAGTGGGCGCGCACAATTGTGGACCACAGAGAAGAGAGGAGAGGACCCGTCTGGAGAATCCACGAGAGGGTAATAATTAAGAGCAAAGCTGATGTCAAGCCTCGGCTGCAACCATCTCTCCTTTTCAGAGTCCCCAGACACGCTGTCGAAGGTGACACTTTTGACATTAGGGGTTTCTTTCTCTCTGTCTTGGGAACCATTTGGCCTCAGTCATCGGTTTATGGAAACTCTAGAGGAAATTTGCATACCTAGGGGGTCCCAGCAGGAAAAATGCCATATGAGTAAGGCTGGAAGAACATACTCCCTTGGCCCAGCCAGCTCCATCAATAAACATGACTTTCTGACTCTCTAGAGCCACAGGGCCAAAGTCCCCACTCTAAACTCTTTGTTGCTTTTATACTCTTTCCTCTGAAGTCCTATAGCAATTAAGTCATCAGTCCTATGGTCCTTCACACCTTGGATGCTGGCTGTCCATGAACAAGGGACCAAATCTTATATGTTAGTTATCCATCCTCATGGCTTAGGTGCTTAAAAACCCCCTTGGTGGGAGAACTTGTGCTGAGAAATTGTAAACTAAATGAGGAAATAGATTGGTGTACAGTGAAGAGCCGTCAGATACGAAAATAAGAATCAGCAACTTGGTCAGATAACGGCAACAACTGGCAAACAGAATTTGATTTGCATGAACATGAATATGTCAAGATAAACAGAAGCTCTGGTCTGGTCTCTTCCCGGAGGGCAGTCTGTGGCAAGCCAATATCCTGGCAGCAAGGAGCTGAGGTGGCATTGTCCCCCAGGGGACGTTTGGAAATTTGTAGGGCAGAACTGTCCTGCCCGAAATGTCCATAGCACCCTCTGGAAAGAGGGTGGAATGTTTTCTTCCACATTCATTATAGAGCTGACTGCCCTCTCGGCCTACAGAGGCACAGAACAGCCTTCCTCTCTCATTAAGAACGAGGCCAAAACTGGTCCCCCTTTCCCTGGGCCCAAGAAGTGCATCTCGGGGCAGAGAAAGGGTCCCTTACAGGACCCCAGTGCTAGGCCCCTCCCACCCCCACCTCTTACCACCTGGCCTCAAATTTGAGAGAAGAGCCTCCTGTGCCCCCAGCGATGTTCAGGCAAGATGTACCGTCGGTTCCAAGCCCCCTCGCCCCACACCCCTGGGACCCAGAGGAAAGAGGAAGAACGGGAGGCTGAGCAGGTTAGAACGCATCACTGCTCCTGTGCAGGGAGCGCAGTTTTCCGGCATGGGCACTGACCTACGTGACAGGTTGGGGCAGTTTCTCTCCATGTTAATGTTGCTATAACCCCTTCTTCGGGTCCAAGGGCAGGTACTGGGCTTTGGGCCTGGATATAGCAAGCCCCTAAGAACAGCCAGAAATGCAGGTAAACCTCTAACTCCTCTAGGCAGGCACGCTGTCTCTGACCAAAGGAACATGAGGTGCGGTATGGGAATGTTATAATGATAGTTTAGCAGTGGCTTTAAACTTCCCTCTAAGATACTGATTCCAAAGGTGAGGCATGTAACCCAAACAAAGTAAACCTTAAGGCTGAACTAAACTTCTGTCAAACTAGTCTGAATTTCCTGCTGTGAGGTGTCAATGGCTCACACAGCTCGTGTGTGTTTATTCGTATCTCCATGGCAACTCCTCTATCGTTTCCAGTCAACATCCAATCCCTGGAAATCACAGGATGGGCTGGGGCAAACAAGCTGGTGAGTGGGTGGCGGGGGAGTGGGGGGGGGGTCCTGCTGAATCTGGGTCATAAGTGATGCTCAGAATAGCCCAGAAGTGGGAGGCAGATGGTGGGGCTGCTGGCTGTGGTGTTCAGTGGGCCCCACACTTGTCCACAGAGGGGCTTCATGTGGGGCCGAGCTGGGAAGACAGGATGGGTTGAGCATCTGGGGGAGCAGATGGGCCGTAGAAATGGCTGCTGGAGATGGTGACAAAGGCTTGGCAAGTGGGACCTGATGCAGTTTATTTTTAAGTGGGGGAGAAACTAAAAAAAGAAACTGGGTGTGTTTGAGCAGCTGGACACAGTTCTTCCAAATAATCACTGAAGTTTTTCATTTTCTAATATAAAAGCTAACCACAGGGTAAGAGAGACTGAGGAAGGAAATGGCAAGGGGGGCTGGAGGGAAGGCTGCCCCACAGGCCGTACAGCTGAGACCACCACCACCAAGACAGTTCTAGCTGTTACGAAAGAGCAGTGTGGCCAGAGCGGAATACTCAGGATTGGGAAGACTCCAACTCCACAGTCAAGCCAGGGCCCCTGTCCCATCTCTGCACCAACCTGCCAGGATGCTGCTTCCCTTGCCTCCTTTCTCAAGACACTTTGGTCACTTCCATTTACAAGTCTCTGTTTTACCAGTGACTCATCCCTCCCATATTCCTACTAGCATGGTAAGTTCCTGAAGGATGGGGCGACTTATTATTCAGTCTGCATCACACAAAGCCCACGCATACACTGCGTGCTTAGCGATTATCCTGTCTGTCTCTTTGCCCTAAATAAGCCACAGAATCTCCGGACTTCCTTAAGATTCCATCCCATCCTACAGCCTATATCCAAGCCAAATGTGTACATTAAAGGCAACACTTCCGTCCTTCTTGTAAGTGTACGGAGCTTCAAAAAATATCTGGTCAATGACGTTCAATTTTCCAAACTCTGGTTGCTACTGAGATCTAAGCAAAGCATGCTCCTGAGAGAGAATCTAACATCTACAATGATGAAGGCAAAGCCAGTTTTGCTTAAATGAACAAGTCACCTGCTCTATAGTCTAGATGTCCAGCTTCGTTAAAAACAGCAGAGGCCGTATTGTGGACAGGAAGCCACTGTCAGGACAGAATGTAAAGAGACATGATGGTCTCCTATAGGCAAAGGTGTTAGACCCGGGTGTATTTGTCTCCCTATTTGTTTAACCTGGATGCAGAACATATATGAAAAACTGGTCTAGATTCAGAGGAAGGAGCAGTGAAAACGGGTGGAAGAAATACCAATAAGATATGCAGATGACACATCTCACTAACAGAAAGTACTTAAAATAGGAATAATCAAATAGGTCAATGCAACAGAATAGATCCCCAAAATGAAAGCATGTACATTTGGATGTTTATTACATATTAAAGGAGATCTTTAAACTCACTAGGGAAAGCATGGACCATTGAATAAAACAATTTTAAAATGTAAAAGCCAATCTTAGTTGCAGGTCATACAAAAACAGGCACTCGACCAGATTTGGCCCATGGGCCATAGTTCACCAACTACTGCTCTATTCTATTTTTGGTATCTGCCTTAAAGGAACACTTACACATGTGTACAAGGAGGCATGAATAGACATCTTCACTGCAGCTGCATTTGCAGAAGAAAAAATTAGAAAAACAACTAAATTTTCAGTAATAGAAGAATGGCTAAACAAATTATGATATATCCATACCATGTCCAATTGTGCAGATCTACACTAATATAAAAACATTTTCAAAACATATCTTGAAAAGGAAAAATAAGTACAAATTTTAGAATATTTATACCTTAACACACACACACACACACACACACACACACACACACACACAGTAGTAAATTATGGAAGGCTATACTCCAACCTGATAACAATGGTTACCTCTTATGGGAGGAAAATGAACAAGATGTGTTTGTTTGGGGGGATGGGTATCTTACAGGACTTCAGTCTTACCTGTATTTTTTTAAGAGCATGTGGTCATGAATGACTTCATCAATTTAAAAGAATAATAAAAAAGGAAATCTAGGAATCTTTCCACTAAATGACCTTAGACCTTGGCCACCTCCCCTGAGTATAAAGAATCAAGGCACATGGGTGGGAAGATGGAAGTCAGATGACTATCACGCCCAAGTTATGGCTGCTCATGGTACTTGGGTCTCCCTCTCCAGGCAGCACTGAGGTCCCTTGGGACTATTAAATAAGCCTAGGATGTGACAGCTGTGGCCTCAGCTATATGGCTACTCAAAAATAAAAACAACAGCTTAGGGCAGAGCCTGCTTTTTGAGCAAGCTTCATATTTAAAAATCTAAAATCAAGAAATCTAAAATAGATAAAACATTGCAAAATGATTCACCAAGTGGTAGCACAGAAAACTCTTCTAGTGACATCCAGTTAAACACAGCAGATGAGACATCTCTGCCCCCTTTATAAGCCCCATTAAAATAATAGTAAACATTTGAAATGGTAGAAATCCACAGACAAGGAATGGAAGATAGACGAACAGCAGGGGAGCAAAGTCAACCCACTTTTGTTAAGATAAAAATCAGGTGGAGGAATTAGCAGAGCTGAGTTACCTGAATACCAGATGCCAAAGAGAAGAAAGTCATTCATACCCCAGATCTCCAGAAGGCCCAGTCATTGGTGGCACCATATACCACAGATGGCAACAGTAAATCATGTAGGAAAAAAACAGGTAGGTTGGTTAAAAATTCAGATAATGAGCATACAGACCCCAGATTTCCTTTTTTCTCCATTCCCATGATGATTTTTTTCATGACTAACTTCCATCAAAGAGACTATAAACTCAGGGACAACACCTACAGTGATATTTCAGAATACAAATACCAAAGATATTTGTATTAAGAGGGGAAAAAAAACAGATTATATACAAAGAATCAAGAATCAAAATGGTATGTCTCAACAGTAAAGCTAAAAACTAAAAGACAAACAATATATTTAAAATTTTCAGGAGAAATTACTTTTCAACCTAAAAGTCAGTGCTCTGATAAGCAATCAAACATGAAGGTAGAATGCAGACAGTTTTGGAAATACAAGGTCTCAACAAACCAAATTATCACCATGGTCCTTTTCTAAGGAAGCTACTAAAGGATGTGCTCCACCAAGTCAAAAGGAGAGGAGAAACAAGAAGGAGATCTGGGGCCCAAGACACAGAGACTCAGCACAGGAGACAGGAGAAGGGAAGTGTCAGGACAACAGCTGTGCAGCAGATCTAAATAGAAATTAACCAGATGGGAAAGGAGGATGAGGGGGTTTCAAAAGAGATTCTCCAGGAAAAGAAAAGAGCTGACAGATTACCAGATGTGTCTGACCACATGGAAAATACTTCTGAGGAGTTTCCAGTTTTATTGGAGAGATTGAGAAGTAGTGGCGACAGTAAACTACTAATCAAACCAAAACGGCAAGGCAATTCTTAATCTGATGAGATGGGGGAAAACAGTTGACTAAGAAAGGAAATGGAATTATAGTATATTTTTAAAATTATTGATTGGTTTGTATATTACCTGGGTTGGCAGTGAGTCACACTTAATAGGGTGATAACACTGTAAACACGAGTGTTGATTTAACCAAAAATAGCAATATTATTATATTAGGAGGAGGAGTAGGAAGTAGGTCAAAGGTGCGAAAACCTCATTGTAGAAAGCAGTTATTATCTGCAATTCATAAATAAAGAAATCACAGAATATATTTTAGAAAGGTGGAGGTAAATATAGAAGCAACTAAGCGAGCTGGGAGTTGTTGCTAATGGGAACACAGGAGAGGGGAGAATGGAGACGGCTCTCCTATTTCTTCCCTTGAATGAAGTCTCGTGATAAGATCTAACTTCTAAACCATGAACATGCATTTCTTAAACTTTCTGGGTTTCAGTTCTTTCCACGGTAAAATGGGGATAATGATAACACTGACCTATAAAGCGACTATTAAAATCACATGAGATAATGGGGTAAAAATGCTTTCGAGAACATTCCCACTTCACTTGGACCACTTTTTAAGAAGAGTTATTCCACAGACAGGTTAAGTGGAGCCACAATTGAAATACAAGTTGCCCACGAACCGACAGTTGGAATGTCAGTTTAATCTAATGCCAGATGTGCCTGAACAGCAAGGAGACATGAAGTGAGTGAGTGATCTATGTGTATGGGGTTGATCAAGAAGGATTTCTCTTCTAGTCTGAAATCAAGTAAGCTTAGAATAGATCGTGGGTAACTCAATTTGATTCCCTTTCTAATTGAACTAACCATGTGTTTTTAGACAAATTACTTGCTCAAGTCTCCAGTCTCCTCATCTGTAAAATTGGAAGTGATAACACCTGCCCCGAAGGGCTGTTGTGATGGTTAAATAAACCAAGAAATGTGGAAGATCTTTCGCAGTAGGTGGTACACTCTCTTCTTTGGCAAAGGCTGGCAGCTACAACAGCCCCACTTGAGTTTGCTCCTGAGAATGACAACTCTAACCTTCAATTTCTAACAAAAATCAAGCATCCAGGGCCAGCCCAACAGAGCCTCCTGAGGGTAAGTCTATCCTGTTCTCTTTTCTATCAATAACCTTTAATTAGGCAATAATATGTTACCTACTGTAGAAAAGGACAAAAATATAAATGAGCAAAAACAAGGAACTACGTATCACAAATAATTCCACCAGTAAGAGTTAACCGCCTTTAATGTTTTAGTGTATAGCCTTCCATACGCTTTTCTGTGTTTGTGTGTATTTTTAAAGGAAAAGAAATTTTTTGTTTTATGTATTATTCTTTAGTCTTCATTTTCATCTTTCCTCACTGTGAAATTATTTTAACATCACCAACTTTGAACAGATTGCAGAGTCGGCTTGATAGGTATACTCTTTCCTGTCGCCCCTCAGGGGACAGACAGTGGTGGTGCCAGCATTTACTCCAGCCTATTGGGTGGACTCTAGGGTTGACACCAGAGGAAAAAGCAAGAGCCACCTTAAATTGTGTGCTTCAGTATATGCTGGTAATCACAAGAGCATTGATACTAACCCAGCTTGTCTCAAATAAGGCCAGCAGCTGCATCACAAGCTTTTTAAAGCAGGGTTTATTTCTAGGTCTTGGGAGGAATGTGAGATATTTTGGAAGTTCTGCACATCTCTGACTTTGCAGGGCTTTAAAAAAATGAATATACAAACACCACATACATATACATGCACACACACATATATACACATACATATATGCATATACTACATAGATGTATATGTATATGCAACACACAGTCACAGCAGACATACATAGTACACATTGTACATAAATACATAGTGTAAAAATATTTTGCACTAAGTAAGTGCACATCACTTTGGGAAGAAGGGGCCATCTCACTCTTCCACCGATAACAGGAACAGTGGAAACCCAAGCTCTGCTACTTCCAATGGGTAATTTGCATTTTCTGGGAGAGAAAAGAAACCCAGATTTGGAACGCTTCAATATGTACATAGTGAGATTTTTGCTTTTTCCTAAGTTCACCTACGGAAAATTACTTAGCACGAGACTGCGATTACAGTAACCACCACTTCTTTGTGCTGTAGAGGCAGAAATCAGGTAAAGAATGTAATCCCACAAGCCCCCTAGAAAAGCCAGTTTCAACCATGTCCATTCAAGCCATAGCTCTTATCTTTGGCTTAGTATTTTTTCCAGGTTACAGTTCCCCAGGGTGAGCGTATGTGCTGTGCACTTAGCAGGGAGAATGGACAAGCAGCAAATGGTGAGAGAGTGACCCCTGCTTTGCTCAAGCCTAAAGTGAGAGGGGCTGGAACGGCAGCAGAAGTCCAAGAGCTGGCCCGACCCAGGGGCTGGCCAGTCCACGCATAACTGAAAATTAAGTCTATTTCAAAGTCTCCCCTCTGTCAGATAGTAGACTCAATAATAGAAAGTTAAAAAAAAAAAACTTGAAAATACTTTTACCATACTAAACATATTTGAACTAAATGGTGGAATTATTTGCAGAGTTCTACCTCTCAGACCAGAGGGGTTAAGGCCCAGGTTCAAATCCCCACAGAGAAGGAAACGTGTAGCCAGTGAATTGAACAGTGTGTTTCCTGCATTGTTAATGATGCTTCGGAGTGGGAGACCAATGGCAGGGGGGCACCAGCGGGTCGTCATCCACCAAGGAACACACTGTTCACAACGACAGGCATTGCTGTTTCCAGACCGAGAGGCCCAGTTGAGTGCTACCAGGCTGGCACGACAGACTCATTTGACGTGCAGGATTAATACGTTCATTTAATGCTCTCCTGTTTGGTTAGGTGGTTTGCATTTCTAAATTTCTCAATTTGGCATTCAGATCCCTTTAGATGAAGGACCATTTGGCCTCTCTCACTTCCTTTCCTCCATTCTCCCACGCGACAGCCCCTCATCCATCATGCCAGCCTCCTCACCTGAACACGGCGTTTTCATTCCTGGCTTCAGATGTGTGTGTGCTCTTCTCCTGGCCTGGAATACCTGTCTTCTCCTCTCGACTGACCTATCCAAATCCCACTCTTAATTCTTCAGAGTCCTATTCAAGTCCTAGCTCTTTCAATAAACCGTTCCTAAAAGCTTAGCTCACACTGACCACCCCCCCACTACCCCCCCCCCATGACATCAGCTGCCTCCATGACTCATTCTGGTCTCTGCACATAACGCCTTACACTGGTCCTCAACCGGCTGTACACGGCTTGGCTCTGCAACTAGATCATACACTCCTGGGGGACAGCGAAGATGACTCACCACTCACTCCATCTCTCACGGACAGCACTCCGATGTGGTGACACAACCAATTTTTTTTAACTTCACCTTACCTGACCCCTTGATAGCATCAATACCAGTGACCACGCCTTCCATGAAATACCCTTTTTCTTGGTTTCTATGAAATCGCCCTCTAGAGTTTCCTCCCACTTTTGGCTTCTCCTCCTCCATCCAACTTCTAACCGTTGGTTCAGTCCCAAGCCGCTGCCTGTTCTGCTCTATCTGCACACTCTCTCTCTAGAAAGTCTCCAACATTCCCATGGCTCTAAATATCACCTACATGATCCCAAACATCCACCTCTCGCTTGGGCCTTTCTGCTAAGCAATGCCTGGGAAGGCCAGGCCCGTCAGTATTTTTAATGTTTGTGAAGACAAGTCCATTTTTTATAGAGATCATTTAGCTCTTCACAGAGAAAAGCTTTCGTCCCATGGTTTTATTGCCTCTTTAATCCAAAGCAGCCACTATAAAGATGACCATCCTGATAGGAGGCCAGGCAAGATACATTTATTCATGCAGGAAATGGATTAATATATTAATATAGACTCTACAGTTATACACTGACAGACAGTTACACACTGTCTGACCTAAAGCACTGAAGGAGGATGCTAAAAAAAAAAAAAGGAATTAGAAGGAAGGAATCATGCCTTTCCTCAGAGTTCTCCAATGCTCTGCGAATTCTCTCCTACATAGGGTGCTGAAATTTTTCTTTTCATAAATGAGCAAATGAAGACATGAATGAGCAGGTTGACCGCCTCATGGGCCCCGTCTAGGAAGGGGTCTGACCTGGAGAAAGCGGCTTACCTACAGTGAGCCCTTGATCGCTACTGGTTGAAATGAATCCAAGCAGCGGAGGAACAGATCACGAGCCACTGCCAAACAGACCAACGCTTCTCAGGCCAGTCTGCTGTGCGTTCCTTCAGCGAGTTAGCGGGGGCTGGGATCACTGACCTCTAGTGAAAGGGTTTTCCAATCAGGCTGACTGACATACACATCTTGCCAGTTGGTGAGTTAGGACCCGTCCACAGATCTGAGTAACGATTGGTTGGATCATGTTGATAATTTTACAATCAGTTTTCCTTTCAAACGGACGGATCTCTCAAACTGTTGGGATTTCTGTACCTTCATCTTCGAAATCAAACTGTTCGATACAGCTGATAAACTAACTGGCTAGCACCACAGAGCCACGGTCTTTGGGTTCTTTCTGACACCCCAGAGCATCAGATCCCTCCCAGAACCATCAGACTGACCCTCCGTGATTTTCACTGGAGGCACGTTTCCTCAATTAAATCTATAAATAGAAATTTTACTGCTTCAGAGAGGATATAAATCAGCTTAGCAGGACACTCTAGGGGCAAAGAAAAGGGGACCAGAGCAGGGGGAGGGCGACATATTTCAATTATTCAGTGAGATGGGAATCAGGGTGGGGGGGGGTGTGAACAGCCTGGGATGCAAATTCTCTTTTGTGCAGGAACAACTGACAAGCAGCCCGAAGGTATCTTCTTCCTTCAAAGGAGAGATCATATTGAGAATTGGCAAGCAGCGGTGTCACTCTGCTGATGCTTCCAAATGTTCCCACTTATTAAAAGATTTCAGCGCTGAACACCAACTCTAGCTCCCCGGGAGAGCGCTTGTTTAGAGGAAAAGCATGTTGTTTCAGGGATAAGTCCTCTTTGTCCACCCAGCTTGGGGCTTTGTGAAGCGCTGTGTCTCAGTGAGTCACAACCCATAATCCCCCCTCTCACAAAGCAGCGGGGTACCAGGAAGGCTAATTCCTCGCTACCCCTTTCTTTACTGAATATGTTTTGTGCTCTGAGCATTAAAATAGCATTTTTATGAGCATTCTGCCATAACTAGACCAATTAGTATCAACTCTGCTACAAAGTAAAATAATCTCCCTGGGTAACGCTGAATAAGCCTCACCTCAGTAAGTGGTTCTAGCATTCAATCTGTGTTCTTCATGCTGCTGCGTAAGCCTATTTCCTCTCACACTTCCCTCAGTGAAGTCAGAGCATGTCACTTATTCATTCATTCACTTATTCACCAAATATTTACTGCATGCTTACTCTGTGCCAGGCAATGTGATAAATATCAAGGATATAGATCTCTGGCCTTGTGAGGCTTACACTTCAGCGAAGGGGCTAAGGATTAAACAAGTTATTGCATAAAAATATTTCATTACAACTGTGATAAGTACAGCAGAAGGGGCTGCGTACAAGGTGCCCAACATGAGTTATTAAACGAGGCCGGATCGCCTTAATAGGGTCAGCGAAGGTTACACAAACAAGGTGTCATTCAAGCTGAAATCTGAAGGATGAATAGGCGTTGAGTAAAAAGAGAGAGAGCATCCTAGGAGGTGGAAGCTGCATGGGGAGCTGAGGCTGGGGGGGGCGGCATGTGGGGGAGGAGGGGCATAGAGGATGAGGAGCGGTCCCAAGGTCAAGGTCAGGCAAGACCTCACACAGGTCATCTTAAATATTGTGAACTGAGTCCTAAGAAAATGGGATCCTACTAAGGATTTTAAGAAGGACAACGACATGGTCCGGTTTCTATTGAGCAGCATCACTCAGCACTATGAGGATAATGAACAGAAGAAGAGAAAAGGGGGAGCAGGGAAACAAGTTAGAAGCTATTGGGTAGACCTGGCAAGAAATGAGAACAGTTGGATTAGAATGACTCAGTGGAAGTGGAAAAGGAAATGCAAAAAAATAACAATAATTAAGATCTACTTAGGAGGTAGAACGTACAGTACACACAGGGAGGACTGAAACAGAGGGGGCTCAAAGGATATCATGATGGTTTGGGCCTTGAGTAACTACATAGGTGATGGAGCCATCTATATAAATAGAGAATGATTGAGGGGAAGAGTTAGAATTACTGAGGGATAACGGCACACGAGTTCAGTATTACACATGCTAAGTCTGAGCAATCTGTGACATGACTGAGGGGAGACATTCAGTAGCCAGTTGGATATATATGCCATTAATGAAGATCATTCTAAATTATAGCCGAGTCCAACACTCTACATCCTCTCCATTTTCTTCTAGAAAAGATGTGTATTCTAGAACGGCACTGCTCAAAATGGAAGTTGCTAGCCATATGGGAGCTACTTAGATGTAGATTAATGAAAATTGGATGAATTTAAAATTAGTTTGTGAATTGCTCAACGTGGCTAGTGACTACTGCATTGGACAGTGCAAAGGACATTTCCATTACAGCCGGAGTGCGATAAACAGCCCGGCCTAGAATATTCAGGGGGCTATTTACAACACAGCTCTGGCTAGTCTTTCCAGGAGTGTTCAACTGTCGTTCTAACACCACCAAGAAATAGCATCCTACTGTACTTTATGGCCCAGGCAGTTTGAGGTTGAAGGTGAAGAAGATATGGGAAAGAAGGAATGATAATCTTTGTTATTCAGGTGCCTTTCAATCTATCTTTAAAAAATAGATGAAGCATGAATACCATGGAGAGAAGTGTATGAGGTGCGTGGGGAGTGAACTCACATTGTAAAAATACTATCAGGTCATTTAGGGAGACTGAAGTCAGCTGACAGTAGGTGCCAAGGAGGCATTAAATCTTTATTTGGATTTTGACAAAAAAAAAAAAAAAAGGGAAATGGATTCATGAAAAGAGAGAGAGAGAAGGAGGGGAACTCAAGGGAGGAAACAGTTTATTCAAAATGTTATGGACCTTTGGAATGCCAGCCCCGTGTTTCCGAAGGAAAACAAAATCTGTTCTGAACTGCATAAGAAACAGAGTGAAAGGGGGGAGGGTCCTTGGGTGGACAGGTGGAAGCACAACTTAAGAATCAACCCAGTTTGAATGTCAACTACAAATACACATATATCGTCTCTCTCTCTCTCTCTCTCTCTCTCTCTCTCTCTCTCTCTCTCTCTCTATATATATATANTATATATATATATATATATATATATATATATATATATATATATGTATATATCATCACGTGATATAAAGTACAGCATAGGGAATGTAGTCCATGGTATTGTAACAGCTATATATGATGTCAAAGGGGTAGTAGATTGTGTGTGTGGGGGGCTGTCACTTTGTGAGGGGTGTAAATGTCTAACCATTACATTGCTGCATGCACCAGAAACTAATTTAAAAAAAAAAAAGAATCACCCCAGTTTGGAAGCATTAATTGTGCACTGACGTAATACTGCAGCTAATTCAGACACCGAGCTAACCATTAGGGATATAAATAGTAATGGGATCCCAACCTGCACTTGAGCAGCTCACAGTCTAAACAGCCATAACCCAGGCTGTCAGGATGAAAGATAGGTGATAAAAATAGGTCTTACAAAATATGCTCTTGCTCAATAAATATGTAAACTAAACAACGTATTTGCAACATAGAAGACATATATCTCACTCAAAAATGCATATTCAAAAAGGACTGTGCGCCTAGGTACTTACCTTGTAGATAGAAGTTCAAATGAGGTAAACATGTGAGGTTCCTGGAATGGGCTGTGATGGGACAGAGCAGACTTTCAAGGGCTTCACCTGTGAGTAAGTGTGTTCACTGTCCTCATTCATTTTTTAAAAAGTCAACAAGCCATAGGCTACATAGCACAGTTTGGGTTAACATTTTAGATTTTTAAAATTTATCAATAACATAAGCCATGACTCAAAGTCTGCAGAGCACTGCTTAACATTAAGTTCAAGGGTAATTAATGTTAGACCTTTCATGAAGGAACATGGAAATGTGTTAGCCTGGGCTTAATTCTCTGGCTTTCACAGGTGATGACTGGGTTACAGGCTTTGGGGAAGACTGCTCAGATTTCAGGATGAAGTTTGGAACCTTTATGATACCACCTTTTATTGTTTTTCTTTGTGTTGCATACTCATAGCTATGATTTTCATTGAAATTCCATTTTCTATTAGAATTCACTGATTTCTTTTCTGCTGATTGCTGGGTACTAGTACTGAATAAAATATTTATCTTTAAAGATGCATGAGCATATTTAAATTCCTTCAGATGTGTTATTTTGCTATGTACTTTGTATCAGTTTTTATTGAAATAACTTTCCACCTGTACTATGGCTAATTTTATAGAAAAACACTCAAATGTATTCTCCTTTGGTAATATTGGTTTAAAAAAAATATATTCGCTTTCGTTGCATATACTGGGGAAATTCATCCACATTAATCATTTCCCAGTAAACTTCTTGTATTTTATTGCCTGTCGTGGACACTGAAGCCAGCATATTTCTTTTTAGCTACTTTTTTCAGGGTTATAGAATATTGCTGCATACTCAGAACTGATGATTTCCTACAAGATTCTAATACATCATATGCCACATTTACATGATAAAACATTTACTTATAGTTTAAAACCACTTAAAATGTATAAAGAAAAGTGCTTAATTAATTTTCCAAATCATTTTCCTGTAGAGTTGGAATGTATCTGAAACCCTTAGCTATTTCATATGCTACTGTAACAGTACCTTCCTGTCAAATTAGCAAAGATTAAAATACCAGTACTACTCAGCATTGGTGAGGGCATTCTCATGCACTGTTGGTAGGGATGGAAACTGGCACACCCTGTCTACAGGGCAGTTAAGAAAGAGTTAAACAGGGGCAGCTGGACAGCCCAGTTGGTTAGAGCGTGAGCTCTGAACAACAGGGTTGCTGGTTTGAGTCCCACATGGGCCAGTGAGCTGTGCCCTCTACAGCTAAGACTGTGAACAACAGCTCAATCTGGAGCTGAGCCGCTGTGAGCGGCTGTCCAATGGCCGGTGAGCGACTGCCTCACCAGGGAAGAGCGCAGTGATAATACCAACATGGGCCAGTGAGCTGCGTCCTCCACAACTAGACTGAGAACAACAACTTGACGTGGAGCTAAACAGTATGTATGGCAAACCTTAAAGGTGACAAAAACCTTTAACTTAGCAATTTTACATACAAGAATTCATACTGGTTATGATATTCTCCTCAGTGCAATTGATAAGTGCAAAAAAAATCAGAATACTATGATTGCTAATAGCAGGAGACTAATTAAATAAATTATGGCACATCCAATAATGAAATTCTATATATCCATTAAAAAGAGTAGCTAGAAATAGATTTGGTGACATAGAAAGGTGGTCCTGATACAACCATATCTCTGGAATAACACATTTTTTTTAAAATGGTGCCAAAAATATACAGAGGGTGCCAAAAAATGTATATACATTTTAAGAAAGGAAAAAACTGTATTAAAATTGTAATATTTAATATATACTGATAATACAAGTCATATGTATACATTTTTTGGCACCCCTGTATGCATGTGTGTGTGTGTGTGTGTGTGTGTGTGTGTATGTGTGATATATAGAAAATATTTAGAAGAATGGGTATTAATAGTGGCTTCTGTTGAGGCATTTTTCTCTTCTTTTATTCTTGTCTGAATGTTCTAATTTTCACATAATAAACATGTATTGCTTTTATTGTTAAAATATTTATTTTTTTAAAAAATAGCGACCGAAGTCCCTTTTTTAACTATCCTACCTCTAGGCACAGGGGCTTTGAACCAATCTGGCAAGAATGACCCATGATGCCCTGAATCTGATGACCACCTTCCCTCCCAAACCCAGACCAACTGGCTCAGCTGTTCCCCGACCACACGAGCAAGGGTTCTGCTCACCAAGCTGTCCCGGACGCACGGCGTCTCCACAAGCCTCCGGACTCCATTCTCCATGGTGACCCCCAGCCAGTTGAGTGCAGCCCAGCTCCAGAGGTAGTCGTATCCACCATGCCAGTAGCTCACAAACGCAAAGGTCATTGCAGTGGAAAACAGTGTTCCCAGCAGGCCATGCTGGGACCCGCCCACTGGAATGTACACATACCTAGAGAAAGAAGAGGCTGTTAGGAGCCATGCAGAGGGCTGTCCCTGAAATAAAACCTGTCCCCAGGCTTGACTCTTCTGTCACATGATGATATTTACTGTGTGCAGATCCTTCCCCACTTCCAGGGGGCCGCAGAGCACTCCTTGAATTCTCCATCACATCATGCAAGGAGCTGGCGAAAACACAGGCCTCAGCTCTGCAGGGCTTTAGGTTAAATGAACAGAACACACAGGCGAAAGAGCTCTCATCACCAAAATCAAACAGCACTTACAAGAGGCAGGGTGAGGAGCAATGAATTTAGAGTTTTTTAAAGGGATATGCCCAACCCTGGAAACCCAATTACAGAATGGCAATTAAGTGTCTGGCTACATGGGGACACCACATTCAAGGCAGGTATGTTATTTTACAGCTCAAACTATTAGGTGTATGGTACACCCAGTATTTAAGCACAACTGCTGAAATAGCAGGAGTGGGGTACAGAAGAGGGGTGCAAGGCTGGTTCCTCCAGCCTTCCAGGCAAGGTGCCCGGAAGCAGCAGTGAATTCGCAAGTGAAGAGAAAAGCTCTGTCTCATGGGGCAGCCAAATTGTCACCCGAAATGCACAGCCATCCCTCGGCCTGCTCTCCACTGCTGAGAAAGCTGTCTGACACATCTAAGCAGGACCATGTTCGCCAATCAGTATTTTCCTGCTAGAGCTGGACAAAACTCACACTGTGGTTTGAGAGGATCTGGAGACCTAGGCACATACCCTGTACAATTTGTCCTGTCTGTATACTATTTTAATTTTCGTGGGAAATTGTATTTCGAAAGTCAGTTTCGAATAGCACAATTGTATCAGTAAGCCAACAATATAAAAATAAAAACCACTCCTCAATCAATAAATATTTCAAAAAACATGATTTTAATGATTTTAAAATGTCCTCCTTCGCTCTCAAACATGCTCCAGTTCAGATAATAAATTATACAAGCAGCTTAGATAGCCCCATTTTATGGGTGGGAAAACTGAGGCTGAGAAGTTAACATGACCCAGGCTCACAGCCAGGAAAGGGAAGAGCCAACCTGCTGCATTGATGACACCAAAGTTAATGTTTCCCATCACGCCTCTGGGTTTATTTTGAAAACCCTCTATGTGACACCCCAACCTGAAACAAACTAGAAAGCATGGGAGAATGTAGCCACTTCAAAAACAAGTGAAGCAAAGAAAATACTTTCTCTTGTGCAAAAAAAAGACCACCTTGACAATCAAATTAGCAGATGTGTATCAAGCACACACTACAGGTGAAGGGGGCTCCATCTGCTGTCAAGCATTTATTCAGGCCTCCAGGGCGGTCCTGGCACTACCAGGGGGAACACAGACCTGGATACATTGTTCCTGCCAAAAGGACAGGTACAGCAGGTTGTGAAACAGTAACAAGAGCCATCATTAAAAGCTACAGGATGTGGTACAAAGTGGACCAGGTGGGTTTAAGAGCGTGGAGAAGAAAGAAGGGGTTGAGTGGAGGCAAGTGGGATAGGGAAGGCTTAATGGCAAAGGTCCCCACCTTGGCAAGGCTTAGAGGATGAGTTCTGCCAGGCAAAGGGGAGAAGGATGGGTACTGCCACCGACTTAGAAGGGCTGGGCAATGAGCCAGAAAAACCTGACGGCCCCAGGCACAGTGGTTTTATTTGGTGTTCTGCTGCCCCCTAGAGGCTACTTGGTTATTGGTGAAGCCTGCTCAGCAGAAAACGGCAGGTAAGAAAAGTTGCGGGGTGGTCAAAGCAATTTCAAAAGTATGAGGAATAACTGCTGTTTACAGAAACGTTGCAGATAATTGTTTTACAAAGCAAGTTAATACTAATATGAATACTCTCCTCACCTAACTGTTAATCATATTGAGATTTTTATTGTATCGCACCATGTTAAAATGAGCTGCACTATAGACATATATATATATATACATATATATATATGCATACACGCCCATATATATACACATATATATGTACACACACACATGCGTACACACACACACACACACGCGCGCGCGCGCGCGCGCGCACACACACACACACATCAGAAAGCCCGGTATAAAATAAAAACCTGTCATCATCCACACCAATGGTCCTTAATATTGGATCCAATACTCCAAAAAGGATGTATTTTCAAGCTTGTAATGAGGAAGCTTTAAGCCCCATAATTACATGCTCAGTTATTTTAGGCATCTCTTGGCACCATGGCTTTGTTACTTTGCCTTCGAAATGACAGCCGACAAAAATCCTTTTATTGCAGAAGTTCACACATGGCAGGTCTCCAAGGACACGAGGCTGCTTGCTTTAAACCAGAAGAGGGTACGGTTTCCAGACTGGAAGATAAAAATCCCTTCTTCACTCTTACTTTCTAAAAGGCAGCAGGTTCAGCAAGGAGAGGGAATAGGTTATTTCTTTTTTCCAAATTCTACAAGTATTGGGTCAGTTCCATGATGAAAAGAAAACAGAAACATGTCTCTCTTTTAGAAAAGCAGTAGTGTGGCCCCACTTACTGAGATCCACCACACAGTGAAGTTGATTTCCAAAGGGAAAAAGCACCACCATCCCAGCAAGGCAAAAATAATTATTTCTTCTCGTCAGCGACTGCACGAGCCTGAGTTTACCCAAGGCCTGCCCCTACCAGGCCAGCTTCAAGTGGTCACTGCCTGCAGGGAATGCTACTTGAGGAAGTTGCCACCACCTGCAGCCACCTTCTTAATTTAAAACCATTTCACAGAATCAATGCAGCCCAGCAAACCCCCAACTCAGGAGAGGAACATGTATAAAATGTAGAGGTTATTAATAACGTCCACCCTTTACTGAATGAGCCAGGTGCTTTGTATATACCATTTCTAACCATTGAAACAGCCTTGCAAGGAACTAACGACAAGGCCCCTTTTACACAGGAGAGGCGAAATCTGACCCTAGAATGCTCTGGCTTCGGAACTCCCAGGCCTGTGTGCTGTTATGTCATTTATCATAATGGGAACATTTCTTGATGATATGTTCCTCTTATTTAGCCAAGTCTTCCAAGCAGTCTCCACAGAAACATCCACTAGTATTTTATAACTGATGAAATGGACTTTGTAGGAAAGGAATCTTGCTGGGGAGAAAGGTGCTTATTATTTACAAAGGTGTTTGGGCCAAGGAGCTCTGTGCCAGAGGCCACGGGCATGACGTATTTTGCTGTGTATAATGCGCACTTTTTTTGCCCAAATTTGTGAGGGGAAAATAAAGATGTGCATTATACATGGGTAGTACTAATTCTGTGTCTATATAAATGTTTTTAGTTCTTTTATTTATGAGTTAAAAGTGTAACTCCAGAAATCAATAACGATATCTGTATGCAAAATAATACCCTGGAATACGATCAGTGGATTTGTTGACCTTATGATAAACTTGCCACGAGGAAGAGTTCTTGGCCTTCTATGAGGCGTAAATATCGTAAATTTGTCACCGGTACATAAAATTTCTTGTACCTTGTAGCTGTTGTGTTTTGTAATTATTTGTTACATAAAATTTCTTGTACCATAATATGTTAAAAAATAAATGCTAAAATTCCTTTGTAATATAAAAAACAAGTACCTAAATGTAAACAAAAATTTGAATTAAAAAATTAAAACGAAAGATTTTTTTCCCCTGCAAGTTTGGGCCAAAAACGTGGGTGCACATTATACATGGTAAAATATGGTAAGTTCGATTTTTAAACAAGCTAGCATCCTTCTGTCCCACAAGTGGAGATTACACCTGCTATCCTGACCAGCCTGACATCGTGCAGATGTCTGACTACGTAAGAAGTGGGGCATAAGAAGCTGATGGTTGAGGGTTGTCGTTGAGTAGGCGCATGTGAAGAGAAAAGAAAGTATCTATTTTCCTCATGTCCACTATGAGAAACAAGTCAGGCATATGGCCGACAGTTGGGGACAGGTGTGGTGAGGATTCATATGGTAAATACATTCATCTTAAAGCCACAACACCCCCTTTTTCCAGGACCTACACAATAGCTCCCTGGCTTGCCACATTATCTTCGAACTCTTTGCTGAGGACTAATCCCAGACCCCTCAAGATAAGGGGATGAGGCACCTAAGACACTTGGCTTTTCTGTCCCATGGATTGTGTCGAGGCGGGCTGGTAGGTTCTCAGCCTTCAGGTACCTGCTGCTTGGCAGAGCCGGGCCAGGCAATGGCTGACATCCTAGTCCAGCTCTGCCTTATCCATCCTTATCTCCCACTAGCTCCCTTGACAAATCCTGAAATCCTGAACAAATGGGGCTCTCACACCTCCATGTCTCTGGTCACACTATTTCCATATTCTTCTATCCTCTCTGATTTTCCAACTCCTATTCAGTCTACAAAGTCCAGTTGATTTTCCTCCTCCTCCAGGAAGTCTCTTTTGAATATTCCAACTCTCCGTTTAACACAGAGAACCTACTGTTGGTACCACTGACTGAGCAGTCATTCACCAAAAGATTTCTTTTCTATTATGGTTGTCATTTTAACTGAATTGTAAAATTCCTTCAGGCAGTATTAGGGGTGTGTGTGTGTGTGTGTGTGTGTGTGTGTGTGTGTGTGTGTGTGTGTGTGTGTGTGTGTGTGTGTGTGTGTGTGTGCACATACATGTGCTATTATATAGTTACTAATCAACAGTATTTCTATATCTAACAACATAATTTTCATTTACTTTTCATAGCCTCCAACAGCTTTTAAACTTGTGATAAATTGTCACCATTGTCACAGACCCATTATGAGCAATTAGGAACCAAGGGATGATGATATGGTCCTGCCCCAGTTATTGGGAGAGACTTCAAAAGACACCCATTCCCAAAGAATACCGACATCTGAAGGACCCTGAAGTCTCTCCACACTTTATAATCCTACTTACCCTAGTAAAGTCAAAGTGATTTGGCCCCAAACTTCTAGAACTAATCCCAACCTCAAGAGATTTCAAAATTGAAAAGTACTACCCTTTTAAAGACTAGAGGCTTTAGTAGATGG